TATTTCTATGTTATTTGTTGTTCTTTCTCCATTTTCCTTTCTTATTTTGCTTATCTGTGCTCTCTCCTTTTTCTTCTTTGTGAGTTTGGCCATAGTTTTGTTGATTTTATTTATTCTTTCAAAAAAAGAGCTTTTGGTTTGATTGACTTTTTTCTAATTTTTTAAAATCTCTATTTTATTTATTTCCTCCCTCGTCTTTATTATTTCCTTCCTTCTGCTGACTTCGGGATTTTTTGCTCTTCTTTTTCTAATTCTTTTAGTTGGTGGGTTAGATTGTTTATTTGAGATAGGTTTTTTTTTTCTTTTTTCTTTTTTTGAGGAGGGCCTGTATTGCTATAAACTTCCCTCTTGGCACTGCCTTTGCTGTGTCCCATAAATTTTGTGTGGTTGTGTTTTCATTTTCATTTCTCTCAAGGTACTTTTAAAATTTCAACTTTGATTTCTTCATTGAACCATTGTTTTTTAGTAGCATGTTGTTTAATCTCCATGCTTTCCTTTTTTTTCTCCTTTGTTTCTCTATTGTTGATTTCTAGTTTCATGGCATTGTGGTCAGTAAAGATGCTTGAGATAATTTCTATCTTCTTAAAATTGTTGAGGCTTCTTTTGTGCCCAAGTACATGATCAATCCTAGAAAATGCTCCATGTGTACTTGAAAAGAATGTATATCCTATTTTGGGGAGTGTAATGCTCTGAAAATAGCCAAATCTAATTTTTCTATTGTATCATTTAATTTCTCTGTTGCTTTATTTATTTTCTGTCCAGGAGATCTGTCTAGTGATGTTAATGCGGTATTAAAATTTCCAATAATGATTGTATTCCCATCGATTTCCCCCTTTATCTCTGTTAGTAATTTTTTATGTACTTAGGTGCTACTATATTGGGTGCATATATATTAATGTGTAATATCCTCATCTTGTATTACTACTTTAATCATGATAAAATGTCCTTCTTTATCTTTATGGCCTTTGTATTAAAGTCTATTTTGTCTGAAGTCCGTACTGCTACACCTGCTTTCTTGGCTTTTCCATTTGCATGGAATATCCTTTTCCATCCTTTCACTCTCAATCTATATGTATCCTTCTCCCTACAGAGGGTCTCTTGTATGCAGCATATTGACGATTCTTCTTTTATTATCCAGTTTGCCACTCTACATCTTTCAACTGGAGCATTTAGTCCATTAACATTTACAGTAATTAATGATGTGTGTTTATTGCCATTTTGTATTTATTTTTGCAGTTGATTTGGTATTTCCTCTTTGTTCCTTTCTTCTTCCTTTTGTGGTTTGATAATTTTCCTTTGTATTATCTTGGATTTTATTTAGTTTTTGTGACTCACTTGTAAGTTTTTGGCTTGCGGTTACCCTTTTTTTGTAAGTCTATTAACCCATTACAATAACTGTTTGTATTAAACAGATAGTACTATAAGCTCAAACCCATCCTACCAAGAACACAAAATTTTGAAAAGAAAAAAAATATATATTTCCTTGCTTTCCTTTCCCACTCTTTATGATTTAG